TGCATGTTGAATTTATGAACCCAAACATTGAGAGCACGAGCGGCACTATCCTCGGAGGAGGGCATCGACATCAAATAACGTGAGTGGCGACTATCAGTAGCAAACGGGATGTCGTGGAATACCCTAGCGTCTTTCACACGCCCAGAGCACCGCAACCAATGGCAGACCCAGGAATCGAAGTTTGCCGGGGGCGAACGATTGGATCTTGAAAAAAACGGATACAAAACGCAATCAAAATTGGCTGTGTGTGTGGACGTTTGGTGAGATATAAATTGGGCTGAATCGTTGCAGCTTAGTCTAGTGTGCACTCCAACCAAGCCCAATTCCTCTCTCAACCTCGAGTCACCCACCCGTTCGCAAAAAAGGCACGCAGCCGAGCTGCCATGAAGTACTAGCTGCCGGAGGAAAGCTGAGAGGGCCGGACGAAGGATAGGCAGCGGGGGTCGGTGCTCCGCCGCCGAAGACCCGGGGCGGCCGCCCCAGCTCGCCCCAATGGTAGATCCTCTACTGACTGCAACCACATCGATGGCAGGCATGCATGTGAACGAAGAACTACGACGGGGGAGAACAGCTTTTGAAATCACGCGCAGGAGAATAAGAGGTGCCTGATGTTCTCCTCCTCGTCGTAGAAGAAACACGATGAGTCGAGGGCGGCGTTGCAGCGGTCTAGAAGCGCGCCACACAAAATAGCCGCCGACGTATCCTTGAGGGAGAACCTCCATCGGCCAGCGACGAAATTCCAAACCTGCAAATCGAGGTCAAATTCTAATACAACCTGTTGCCATGAGTTATGTATGAGGATACAAAATCACGGTAGCACGCGTGTTTTGAAATTCATGCCGCTTTTCCGTTTCAAATTTTGGTCAATTCCAACTTGCTCTTTGTGCTAGACTCAAGAAAAGGGAAAAAAAAAAGCTTGCTAGCCAGACCCACTCCACACCCTAATAGAAGAGAGTAAAATACCAAATATTCAATTCTAAGCCTGGGCTCATCTGCACCCGTTGAAGAAACAATTCATACAAAATTCAAAAAAATCCAAAAAATTTATGCAAGATAGATAATTTGGTGCGTGAGGTGTGCCCCAAATTTCAGAGCAGTTGAACATTTAAGTAGCTCTTAGTAAAAAAGACAAATTAGATCAGAACAATATATGGATAGTACACCATTTAACAGACCCTAAATTTGTTTTTTTGCCGAGAGCTACTCAGATGTCCAAATGATTTAAAATTAAGAGCGAACAAACCAAATTATCTATCATGCCAAAAAAATGGATTTTTTAAAAAAAATTAGTATTTGTTCTGATTTTTTTATTGAGTGCAGCTGCAAATGATCCTGGGATCCAAAACGCCTCACTCGTAAAATACTTTCTAGACGTTAGGGCATCTCCAGCCGCGCCCCCAGGAAGGCCTCCCCAGGCGTTTTTTTCGCGCCGGCGCCGAAAAAACGGCCCAGTCGCGCCCCCAGGAGCCCGATTTTCGCCGGCTTGGGCCGAAAACAGCGCTGGCGGACCCAGCCCGAACCCGGCGCGCTGGGGGGCGCCGGGCGAACTGTTTTGGCGCGAAAAAGCCGCGGGCCCGCCGCGTCAGCGACACGGCTCTCTTCTCGGCCCTTTGTCGTCCTCATCGCCTCGTTTCCCGCGGCGAATCAATGCCAAAGCTGCCGCGCGCTGCCGCGCCGGTCAGCCTGCACCATTGATGCCTCACGGGCGGCGCAGTGAAGACCGGACGACGCGCGTCCCTCGCCCTCCCTCGCCGGCCACGCGTACACACGGTGGCACGCGCGCCTCAGCCTATATATGACGCGCCACAGCGCACTCAGCGACTCACACTCTCCCCCGTCGTCGTTCCTCCCTCTCCTCTCCTCTCTTTCACCGTCTCCAGTTCACACCCATGGCCGAGCGCTTCCCAGGCGACGGCGCGGCGGCGAACGGCTTCGGCCGCCGCCATCTTCATGAAGACGAGGGTCGCCTCCTTTACAAGGCCGAGTACCCGGTCCCGCCGGACATGCGGGTGCCCGGGGCGTGGAGGATCAGCGCGGGCGGGTGCACACACCTGGAGGAGATCGCCGCCCGCAAGCGTGGGCGTGAGGACGAGCACGACGTCATGGTCCTCGACAGCGACGACGACGACGACGACGACGCCCCCGGACCGTCCAACCCGCTGCGCCAACCGGGGGAGGGATGCAGCAGGGACGGCGACAACGACGACGACGATGACGACGACGGCGGTGACTACACGCGGTTCTACAGCCTCCTCGGCATGTAGAACCGCGTGGGCGGGCGGCGAGGGAGACGGCGGGGGTAGCTCGCGGTAGTTTCTTTTTTGTAAAATATGTTTAAGTTTGAACGAACTCGCCGATGTTTGCGTTAAATTTAAGTCGTTTTTGCGCCGTATTTGACTTTTTTGACTAACCGTGGGCTCCGCGACTGGGGGACATCACGCCCTCAGTGCGCGATTTAGCGCCGGTGCGCCCTCAGGAGGCGATTTTTTGCCCCTTCTGGGGGGCCAACGGCTGAAGATGCCCTTAGGCATGGATGCGAACAAGCAGACCCACTCCACACCCTAAATAGACTAGCCTACTCTCTCACCGAAAGGTCGTATCTTGCTCTCCGTGATTCTACATCAACTACTCAGGGGATTGATTGGTGGCGGTCTCTGTCAAAAAAAGATGGATCGATGGCGAGTGCAGCGGCGCTCTCCGGGCCAGTGAGCGAGCCGAGCCGCTGCGTGAGACACGTGCCCTGGACGGGAGAGCCTCCACGGCAGGGAACGTTTCTTTTTTCTTTTTGGCAAACAGAGTGGAGCAACTTGCGTGCGTGACCAGCGGAGTGTGCTGCGTGCCTACAGATCGAGATCAGCATCATCATCGGGGGGTGGTCGTGCCCGGCGAGTGGCTGGCAGTGCCCGCCTGGGTCGGGCTCGCTCGCCAGGATAAGAACGTGAACGGAATGGGCCCCCCTACGACGCGAGGGACGAATGATTTCTTTTTGCTATAGCTGGCAGGCCGGTTCTGGGGTTCGGCCGACGACCCGACGTCGTGCCGACAGGTAACCTGGGCGCGCGCATGCGTACACCGCTTTGCTCCTGCGGGTTCTTCTTCTGAGTTCATAATACGCATACTATCATAAAAAAAAGTAAAAATAATACTCCTATTAAATCACTAGTACTCCATCTGTTCATTTTTATAAGACGTTGTAGACACTTCAGACAGCGTGACAACTCAATTTCAGTTGTCTAAGATGACTTAGGCCAACTCCACCGCACGACCCCAAATGGACGTCCGGATTGGCCGGATTTTGTCCGTTTGGGGCGCCGATGGGTTCATCCGTGTCCGGCTGTGTCCGTTGGGTTGTGCGTGCGCCCACCGCGCGGCAGCACCCCAAATCGTGCCCGGGGTGGACGGGAATAAAAAACTGAATGAAATAACTAAAAAAGCTAATAAACGTATTTTAGAAAAACATAAAACATATATAGGGGTCGGCCACAAAACGACCCAGTTTCAACGGCCACTTAAAAGGCCCAGTTTCGTAGTTAACATAATAACAAAATAATAAAAAACTCCTCCTGCGCGCTCCTGCCGCGCCCGTCGGTGTCGTGGCCATCGTCGTCTTCACTGACCACCGGTGTCGTCGTCGTCGCTGACGAGGTCGACGTACTCCGGCGGCGTCCAGAGGTGGGGCGGCGGTGCGTGGTAGACGGGGGCGGGCTGAACGACCAGAGGTGCCTGCACCACCTCCTCCCGCGGCGACGCCTCCCGCTCCGGTGACCGCGGCGGAGTGGGGCACCAGTTCACGCCCAGGCCGGCGGCCATCTCCGGCGCAGTGCAGGACCAGCCCCACCCCCGTGACGGCCACCAGCTGCAGCTCCGGGAACGCGACGTCCCCGGCGGCAGAGAGGGTGATGGCCTCCTCCAGGCCGTCCTACTGCCGCTCGTCGTGCGTGTTCATGGAGTGCTCATGGACGGCGGCAGCGGACTAAAATTCAGAATAGTCCGGGCACCTACCGCATTGGTCCTCAGTCCAACCGTGGACGGCTTTCGACTTACCAAAGTGCTCATGGACGGCGGGAGCGGACTAAACCTCATTTACGAGGAAACTCTCAACAAAATGGAAATAGACAGGAGCCACATTGAGCAAAGTAATACGACCTTCCGAGGAATTATTCCCAGTCGGAAGGCGCGATGTGCGGGAAAAATCAC